GAGAAGGGGTTGGGCTGGATGATCTCCAGTTACCTCAGGGGACCGATTTGGGAAGGTGAAATGGAAGGGAGGGACACCACCAGGTATCTGGGGGGGGGGGCTTCCAAGAAGCCCCCCCCACGGGCTCTGCCTTGATCTGACCTCTCTCCCCCGTTTGTCTGAACCAGGGACCGCAAGGGGAACCAGGCCCCCCCGGTCAGCAGGGGACACCTGGGACTCAGGTAAGTCCAAGGTGGGTGGAGAACGAGCGGAGCGGGTGGGTCCTGGGCTTCGTGGCTTCCCAGCTGTCTGTGCCTTAAGGTAGACTGCATTTGATGAGGGAGTTTCGGCGGAGCTCTTGGTAGCTCTGCAGCCTTCCCTGAGACACCCCCCTGCCACCGCCGCCCCCCCCCCGGGGCATCGATCAAAGGCCTCTGGAGGGAAGCAGGTTCCCTGCCACCCCCCAAAAAAACCCCCACCACCACCAGGGCCCTTCATTAGCCCTCGAAATACCTGCCCCCCCTCCCCCCCTTGCCTAGAAGAACATGGGGGAGGGGCGAGGGGTAACCCCAACTCCTCTCCCCACCAGGGCGGTCCGGGGAGAGGGGGTGTGGGTGGGGTGGGCTGGTTTGCTAGGTTCCCCCTCCAGGTTTGCCTCCCGAACCACAGCCCCGCGAGGTAGGCAGGTTGAGGGGCAGGACACGACAACCGCTTTTCTGCCGTCGGGGTGAACCCCGATTCCCGGTTTGGTTTCCGGTTCCTCTCCGTTAGTCGGGCTCGCCGGAAACGGCGAGGCCGTCCCTCCGGGTGTAGGGCCGGGGGCGGGAAGGAAGGGGACCCTGTTTCCGCAAGGCGGGAGGACTGGAACTTGGCTCCGCCCCCCCCAGTCCTCACCCTCTGCACCAGGAAGCCCCTCACACACACCCCTTTTTTTTCCCGCCTCTGCTTCCAGGGTCTTCCAGGACCGCAAGGAGCCATGGGACCCCCTGGGGGAAAGGTGAGAGGGGATCGCTGGGCGGGGGAGGGGAGGGGGGCTCTCTATTCCCAGAGCCCAGGGCCGGGGAAGGGCTTCCTGCCTTTACTGGATCCGACGGGGTCTCCCCCCCTTCTTTTGCAGGGACCCCAAGGGAAACCCGGCCTTCCTGGGATGCCCGGCTCCGATGGACCCCCGGTGAGTGCCCCCCACTGTCACCCCCACCTTTGGCCTTGCGGGGAGGGGAGCAACCTCCCACCCTCCCGAGTCTGTGCCCCGAAAAGTGGCGGGGAAGAAGTAACGGGGGGTGAAGGGCCACCGTAGGGAAGAGCCGCCCTGCCCGGAATGTCTTGGCAGACCCCCCCCATAAGGAGCCAGTTGTCTGAAACCCCACGGTGGCCTCTGCCCCCTCCCCAAGTCGGGGCTTCCCTGAGATTTTGGGGGGACCCTCTGACACCCCCCCTTGCCCTCCTCTCCCTACAGGGTCACCCGGGCAAAGAGGGAGCTTCCGGCACCAAAGGCAACCCGGTGAGTGGACGGGCACGGCCTCTGTGGATGCCTCCGCTGAGCCTCTCCAAGCTCCCCTCGGGCGGGGGGGCTTTGGGGGGGCTTTGGGGGGGGAAGGGTAACCCCTGGGGGTGAATGGCGGGGCATGAAAAGGGCAGCTCCACAGCTGCCAAGGGCACCGTCCTGGCGTGCGGTGCCAGGCAGGGGAGCCTCCCGTGCAGCCTGCCTGGGGGAGGGAGGGAGGGAGGGGAAGTAGCAGGAGGGGAGGGGCCTTTGGGGGGGGGGGGGGCCTCGAGCTTAGAGGGGAAGGGGAGGGAGGGGGGGGGGGGGGGGGGGGGGGGAGGGAGGGTCTCCCTGCCTGGGAGCATTGAAAGGCTGTAAGAGGCCCCTTGTTCTCTTGAGCATTTGTTCCTTTTTGATTGATTGATTGATTGATTGATTGATTGATTTGCATAGCTGCCCATCTCAACGGGTGGCCCTGGGTGCCATGCATCATATAACTGCGGGGGGCGGGGGCAGCTGAGAAAGCCCCGCTAGGTGGGGACGGAGACGATTAGCGCAGTAGTGAGTTCCTGTCTTGGTTGCTACCGCTTTGGCGGGCGATTGCGCGCGCACGTTCAAGCCCCCAACACGGCAATCCGCTGAGAGGATGAGCAACCGTCCCACCCACCCACGGGCGCTTCTCGCGTCTTTTATCCTCTCGGCGGGTCGTCGGAGGAACCGGTTCTGCCGTACCAATAAGGTGTTTTGTCATTGTCGTTGTTTTTGCTACCAGTTCGGTCAAACCGGTCCAAACCGTTAGCAATACCACCACTGGATTAGGAGCCCCAGACTCTTCTTTGGTTGGGCTTTTTCCGTGGGGCCCTTTTTGGAGGTGCAGTTCCCCCTTTCAGCCACCAGGGGTGGGGGTGGGGGGAGAAGCAGCCATTTGCCTCCTCAATTCTCCAGCAGGGGGCAGACCTGCAACAACCCCAGAGTTCCACTAAGTCCAGGCAGGACAGGGCAGGTTTCTTTGGGGGGCAGGTGGGGAGGGATTGCAAGGAAAGAGAGAGGGGAGGCATAATTTTTTTTGAGAGGGGGGAGAGTGAGATGGGGAGGAGCCTTGTTATGGGGCCTGATCCTGCCTCTCTCTTCCTTCCTTTGCAGGGCCCCTCTGGCCCCCAAGGCTTGGTGGGCTATCCGGGCCCTCGCGGAGGAAAGGTGAGTGTGTGCTGTAACCCCCCTCCGCCTCCCCAGGAGCTGGTGGGGGGGGACTCAGGAGAGGAGCAGGGTGGGAAGGGGGGGTCATGCTGAGTCTCCCCCCCCCTTGAGGAGGGGCTGAACTCCTGAGAACTTGCGGAGGGAGAGCTCCGGAGAGAGAAAGGGGAGCCCAAGGCTCCGGAGCCCATTTTCCACCCCCCAACCCAGAAAACAGGCCCCTCTCTGCACACCCAGTGTGGCATATTGTTCGGGTACTCGGGGAGAACTTCTTCCCTTGTCCTGAGGTCACTGCTCAGAAGCATGGGGCTTGTAGTCTGACCCGTGTCGATGATTCCACGTTCCTTTTCCAGGGTACCGACGGCGTCCGTGGCTTGAAAGGGCAAAAGGGCGAGAAGGTGAGAGCTTCCCTTTTGCTTAAGGCTCTGCCCCACCCCTCCCCACAACCCACCTCTCTCCAGCCACTTGTTGGAATGACCTTGGTTCCCACAAGAAATTATTTTGCTTTGACTACAAACTCCCCCTCAGTCTAACTATGCTGTCCCTTCCCTGCCCCTTCTTCACACTGGGGCAACCCTGAAGCCTCCAAAATGGCCCCAGCCAGGTCCCCCTTCAGATTTGATAAGGGACTAACTGCAAACCCCACCCCCCCACACGCAGCCAGGGTTGCTTGAGGTCATCCAGCTCTCCCCGCTTGCCCCAGACTCTGTTTTCCTGCAGTTGTGGCTGATGGACCTGATGCTGTGGGAGACATTTGGGGGTTCCAGTGGGGCCTCCCCTCTTTTACATACCCGCCCCCTTCTTAGGGTACCCCGTCACCCTCAGGGAAGGTAGATCTTTGGGGGGTCCCAGTACTTTCGTGTGGGGGGTGCGCCATTCCACCTCTTGCTCTGAAGTGACCCTCCTGTGAATCACCTTGATGACCCCCCCCTGGAGAACAGCTGGGGCACCCCAACTCTGAGCTCTTCCCCTCCACCAACCCCCCCCATCAGAGTCTCTGAATGTAATTGGGGGGGGCTGATTTGAAGCCCCCTCCCTAAGTATTTCCTTTTGCTATGCGATTCTATCTCCGGTGGCAGGTTGGGGTTCGGGGGTGCCAATGTGGGTGTTTTGGGATCCCCCCTAGTGGTGGGGATTCAAATTGTTTTACTGCCAGTTCTGTGGGCGTGGCTTGGTGGGCGTGATGTGGCTTGGTAGGTGTGGCTTGGTGGGCACGGCAGGGGAAGGATACCGTAAAATCCCATTCCCTCCCCACGCATAACCTGCTTTCCAGCTCCTTTCTCCCGTGCATGACAACCAAAGAAGACCCAGCCAATCACCTGGGACTCGGGAGGCGGAGAATAGATGGGGGCGGGGCCAGTCAGAGGTGGTATTTGCCGGTTCTCCAAACTACTCGAAATTTCTGCTACCGGTTCTCCAGAACCGGTCAGAACCTGCTGAAATATCACCTATGGATGAGATTGAAATTAAGACATTTCACTCAGGAAATGCAAATAATAATATAGGATGAGTCCGGGGGGGTGGGATTCGAATTTTTTTTAACAACCGGTTCGGTGGGCGTGGCTAAGTTGGTGGGCGTGGCTTGGGGGGTCATGTGACTGGCTGGGCGTGGCCAACTCAACATCGCTCACATCGAGGCACGCCTTTCCTCGCCTGGCCTCTCGTGACTGTGGGGATGCTGCAACAGTCGTAAGGGTGAAAAACGGTCATAAGTCCATTTTTTCAGCGCCGTTGTAACTTGGAAGGGTCCATTCCACACAAGCAAAGGACCAGCAAAGGAGGGGGGGGGGG